CACCCGGGGGAACTGCGTTCCCCCGCGTTCCCCCCCCAAAATGACCTCTGGTTGCAACTCAACAGCACCTCCTTCTTCTGTTGGAGGAACAGCCACTTAGGCTGAAGAAAGGCTGCTTGGGAGATGGTTGAATCCATCTTAGTATCAGCCACACGTTGTTGGAGTTAGCCAAGGGAGAGGGAGACAAACTTGGAAGCAGGTGTGGCACAGGCTGTAGCCATGGCTTTGAGTCAGACCTCAGATTATGACCTGATAGCAACTGTTGCTGACGTTAAGAAGGTCCGGGTCTGGACGTTGCCTGGAGGAGAGATCTCCTCCTGGGAACCCTAGAAACACCACTTCAAATTCCAAGACGGGGAAAGAAATGAAATAAGTCTGTAGTTTGGGATCAGGAAGAATGAAGTCCCCCCGCTTCATCCTCTTCCCCATGCAGAGATATAGCAGCCAACCGTCGCGAGCTGACACGCCTGGGCATCACCCATATCCTCAATGCTTCACACAGCAAGTGGCGGGGAGGCGCTGACTACTACGAGGGCATGGGCATCTGCTATCTGGGCATCGAGGCACACGACTCGCCCACCTTTGACATGAGCCCCTACTTTCACCCTGCAGCTGACTTCATCCAACAGGCCCTGAGCAAGAGCGGAGGTGAGTATTGGGGGAGAGCCGGCTTTCCCCACCACCAGGGGAGTCTTTCTGTTCTCAGACTAAGCAGTGAGTTAACAGGCCAGCTCTTGAATGCATTCTGTAATGGGATGTCTCTTCTTACCCTATTGCTTACCCCATTGCTTGAGAGAGTTTATAGGTTCAGTTTGCCACACTGAATATTTGGATTTGGAAATCCAGGCTGTGTTCCATGAAGTGCTTGTGAGATTCCAACCGATTTGTTGTTCAGTCGCACAGTCGAGTCCGACTCTTCGTGACCCCATGGACCAGATCACGCCAGGCCTTCCGGTCTTCCGCCGTCCTCTGATGTTTGCTCAACTTCATGTTCTTTGCATCTATGACACTGTCTAACCATCTCATCCTTTGCCGTCCCCGTCTTCTTTGACCTTCAATCTTTCCCAGCATCAGGGTCTTCTCCAGTGAGTGCTCCCTTCTCATTTGGTGGCCAAAGTATTAGCGCTTCAGTTTCATTATCTGGCCTTCCAGGGAACAGTCAGGGTTGATTTCTTTTAGGATTGACTGATTTGATCTTCTTGCAGTCCAAGGAACTCTCAAGAGTCTTCTCCAGCACCATAGTTCAAAAGAATTATTCTTCGGCGCTCGGCCTTCCTTATAGTCCAACTCACGCAGCCATACATGACTACTGGGAATACCATTGCTTTTACCATGCGGACTTTTGTTGGCAGGGTGATGTCTCTACTTTTTAATATGCTGTCAAGGTTTGCCATCGCTTTCCTCCCAAGGAGCAGGCGTCTTTTAATTTCATGACTGCGGTCACAGTCTGCAGTGATCTGGGATCCCAGGAACGTGAAGTCTGTCACTACTTCCACAGCTTCCCCTTCTATTTGCCAAGGAGTCATGGGGCCGGATGCCATGATCTTAGTTTTTTTGATGTTGAGCTTCAAGCCCACTTTTGCGCTCTCCTCTTTTACTCTGAGCAAGAGGCTCTTTAGATCCTCTTCACTTTCAGCCATTAGAGTGGTATCATCTGCATATCTGAGGTTGTTGATCTTTTCCCCAGCAATCTTAATTCCCGCTTGTGATTCATCCAGGCCAGCATTTCGCATGATGTACTCTGCATATATATTAAATAAGCAAGGCGACAATATACATCCTTGTCGTACTCCTTTTCCTATGCTGAACCAATCAGTTGTTCCATATCCGGTTCTAACTGTCGCTTCTTGGCCCTTATACAGGTTTCTCAAGAGACATGTGAGGTGGTCTGGTACTCCCATCTCTTTAAGGACCTGCCATAGTTTGTTGTGATCCACACAGTCAAAAGCTTTAGCATAGTCAATGAAGCAGAAGTAGATATTTTTCTGGTACTCTCTTGCTTTCTCCATAATCCAGCGAATGTTGGCAATATGATCTCTCGTTCCTCTACCTCTTCGAAACCCAGCTTGTACTTCTGGTAGTTCTCTATCCACGTACTGTTGAAGCCTAGCTTGTAGGATCTTGAGCATGACCTTGCTAGCGTGTGATATGAGTGCAATTGTGCGATAGTTTGAACATTCCTTGGCATTGCCCTTCTTTGGGATTGGAATGTATACTGATCTTTTCCAATCCTGTGGCCACTGTTGCGTTTTCCAAATTTGCTGGCAAATTGAGTGCAGCACTTTAACAGCATCATCTTTTAAGATGATCCAACCGATACACATCCATAATTTCATTCTCATCCTGACCATCTCTCCATTCAAAGTATGCTAAGCTCCAGTCAAGCCTTCCTGTATGTCCTTGTGGCTAAAATACATAGTTCTTTCATTTCCAGGGGAGGGGAATGGTTTGGTTTGGTTGACGTAGGGTTGTTGTTGGCTTCAGAGGAGGATCCGTGCACCCAAGAGCAGGTGCCCAATGACACCTTACAGACCTTTGTGCATTTGTGATTTTGACTTTAGGCAACAGCAGTGGAGGATGAAATGCACCTCTAATACCACATGAGTGCCACAACATATTCCACATGGCATGGCTTCATTGCTAGATATGCTGGAGCTTAACTTTGCCTGGGAATCATGCTTGGAACACTTTCCACATGGAAGCCATTCTTCCTACTAGTGGGCTCATGGGCAACAGTGGGTCTTTCCCCAGGGGATAGTCCATGGCACATATTTAACAGTTTACTCTCCTTCAAGTCCCAGGGCAGAAGGAGGGTTTAAAACTGCAATCCCACCAACTACAAAAGTCACCAGGCACCACTGATGTCTGGCAAAGTGATTGCATAACTGTTTTGCCACACACACCTTCTGCATGTCCATTCGATTCAGGTGTTGACTGGGTTGCATAAACGGACTCTGAAATCAGTGAGCTGTTGGAAAGGAGTCCTGGTCCCTGGTCAGTACCCAACTGCTGACTTCTCACTTTTAACAGGAGACTACATATAGTTTCAGCCACCCCTTCCCTCCTAGCTTGGTCCCCATGATACTCCTCTGCCTTCTTTACTCATCAGATCTTTTGAAGGCTTTCCAATGCTGGCTGTCACTTTTATAGATCACAGAGCATTCTCCATTTAAAACAAAACGTCTGCCATGAGTAAGAAGACAGGTGTATTCACAAGTTTGCAGTAATGACATTCAAGATCCTGGAAGAGAATTGGGGGGGGGGGGGGCGAAAAGAATAAGTACCAAGACTGTGGAAATTACAATGGAAAGAAGCAGTCAGAAGGGACTAGAAGATTATCATGGGGCGGAGCTGTAGGAGGGGCAGGCAGAGGGAGTCAAAGAGTCCCGTTTATAGATTTTAATACTGGATGGTACGTTCAATCTGGGGGTAGGCTGTGTGAAATGATAGCTAAGGTCTACAGTACAGTTGCTATATACAGAATTAGCTCATTGGTCTATCAAGGTCAGTGTTGTCTACTCGGACTAATAACAACTCCCCAGGGTCTGATGTCAAGGTCTTTCACATCACCTCTTATATAATCCTTTTAACTGGAGATGCTGGGAACTGAACCTGAGACCTTCTGCATGGAAAACAGATGTTCTACCACCGAGTCACATCCCTACCCCATTCTCTGTGGCAACACCCATGCATTATAGACATTACCCAGGTGCACACAACTGCCCCACGCATTCACTGGACGCACGGGAAAGGAGTGTGGGAGTCAGCTTGCCAGGCCCAGCCCTGGCCTCCTCCTGATCCTCTGGTCATCTGCAGGGGCGACCAAATAGAGGAAGTGGGTGGGCAAACACTACCTCCCCATGTTCCAAAAACTGACCACAGGGAGTCACTGACCACAGGGAAGGTGAGTTTGTGCACAGCCACTTGCTTTGGGCAGTCATACCTGCAAGCAAGTAGGCGATTGCAAAGAGGTGGGGGCAGGGGTGGGGCCACCACACCTGTTCCCATTCTCCCTCCCCACCTGGTGCCATTTTCCTGATCTAAACTCCCCCTAGAAGTACTATTAGTCTTCAGGTGAGGATACAGGTATGATACTGTGTTCCCTTCCTTGCAGAGAGGACACCAGCTGTCGTTTAAATCAAACACAGCGAGATACACGGTGTAGGATGCAACCCAACAAAAACTGTGAATAAAAACAATTAATTGCAATAAAGTCTATGAAAGGGATGGAGCTGCGGTGGCTCAAGTGGTTAAGACGCTGAACTGCAGGCTGTGGAAGGTCAGTAGTTCAGTGGTTCGAGACCCGGGTGCCGCAAGACAGGGTGAGCTCCTGTCTCTAGTTCCAGCTCCTGCCAACCTAGCAGTTCGAAAGCAAGAAATTGCAAGTAGATAAATAGGTACCACTTCGGTGGGAAGGTAACAGCGTTCCGTGCGCCTTGGTGTTTAGTCATGCCGGCCACATGACCACGGAAACGTCTTCGGACAGCGCTGGCTCTTCGGCTTTGAAACAGAGATGAGCACCGCAACCCTAGAGTCGGATTCGACTGGCTTTCGAGCAAGGGAACCTTTACCTTTACCTTTTACTATGAAAGGGAAATAGATTATCGCTTAAGAAAGGTCAACGGACCTCATATCACAGAACCTGAGCCTTATACCTGGACCCCCAGGGAATACATTTGTGCACTGTCCATCCAAACTGTGTGCCACAAGTAGTATGATGAACTGAACTCAGTAGTGTCCGTAGATGTCTTCTTTCGGTCCACGTCTTCTTATGAAGTCTGCTGACCTTTCATAAGCTATAATCTGTTTCCCTATTGTGTACAACATTGGTGTTCTAATTCATTTTGTAAAACTGCATGTACTGTGGCTCAAGCCACATTTGTTGAAACAGTTATAATCAGGGGTCATTTCGTAGAAAAAGACGTGCAGGAGCTCATTAGCATAACTCATTAGCATAACTCATTTGCACATGCCACACCCCCTGACGTCACCGGAAGTGTGTCAGAAGGCAGCACCCACCGCTCAGGCTCCACTGAACTGTTTTGGATTGCTAGCTATTGGGGGTGGGGAGACGTGCAGATCTGTCCTCACAGAGGAGGGAGAGCTTGTACCTGAATAAAACTTGGTCTCAAAGGTGCCACTTGACTGTTTTGGACCGGGGGGGCGGGGGAAGCTCTGCAACTTACCTGGCTGCTTCTTGCTCTGACTGAGGGCTGCTGGGAGCAGGGGGCGGGGCTTGTTGCATGTGCCCGCCCCCTGGGCTCTTTACTGCCGGAGTTCCGCTCCTGTGCACTCCTGCAGGAAATGACCCCTGGTTATAATATACTTTATATACTTGCATAGGTTTTATTGTAATTAATTGTTTTTACACACAGTTTTTGTTGGGTTGTATTATTTAAATCAGGGCAGAATATTTCTGGGGAAATGGTACAAGCCATGCCCACAGCAGTATCAGACTCAAAGGTCTCCACAGCTGTTTAACCACAACAGAAATTTAGGAGATCTGATCACAGATATCCTGCATGGCATCTGTTTGTGTTATAAGTAAACAGATAGCATTAAGGGACATTGTGAGCAGCCAGACCTCTTATATGCTATGATGTGGTCAGTATCCTGGTCTCCTATGAAGATGGGGAAGAGGGGTTGTGTTGAGCTGCTGCAGAGGCCCATCATGACAACATTCTGCAAGACATATCTAAGTATACATCATATCCTAAATTCTGGGCCATTATGTTCTCTGCTGACACCGAATTTTTCTGTGTGTCAAAGCCTAACACCCTTTCTTCTTGCAGGAAGGATCCTTGTTCACTGTGCCGTAGGGGTGAGCAGATCAGCCACCCTGGTCCTCGCCTACCTCATGATTCACCACCACTTGACCTTGGTGGAGGCCATAAAGACCGTCAAGGACCACAGAGGCATCATCCCCAACCGGGGATTCTTACGCCAGTTGGCTGCACTGGACAACTCCCTCAGGTTGAAGTAGAGACCGTGAGTGGGTGGGTCATGGGGAAACCATGTATGATCCAAATCTGTTGGTGCGTATGAGGCAGTTCTTACTGGGTCAGATTTCAGGGCCCGGTATCCCCGAGCTTCCACAGATCTCGCCCTGCAGAAGCCCAACTGTAAAGCTTCCCACCTGCCTTTACTGTATGCTATCTTAGCCTCAGGCGTCACTCAGAGGTGCTAGCCAGCTCAGGTTTCTGAAGGTCTTTCTCCTTCCCTCTTTGCTGGCTTTGGGAAGCCACAGAATTGGGGTTCTCCCAGATGATTTCTCAACCTGCGACTGAGGCACATTTAAGCTGCCAAAATTTCTTCAGAGCACTCTGTGACATGGCCTGTTGCTTCCTGTTTGCTTGTAACCTTTGTCAAAGAGTTTGGGTACCTCCTCACCCCAATGTATTTTACCTATAAGAATAAAACCTTGCTGAGATGAATTGCCTCAAAGTGTCTTTCCTGTTCTTAGCAGGTACAGAAAATGAGGACACATACAAACTAGGGTTGACAACCTTCAGTCGGGGTCTGGAGTTCTCCCAGCATTATGACTGATCTCCATACCAAAGAGATCAGTTTCCCTGGAGGAAATGGCAGCTTCGGTGGGGGGGGACGGGACTCCAAGGTATCACATCCCTGCTCTAAGCCCCCTCCCCAGGCTCTACCCACAAATCTCCAGGAATTTCCCTGCCTGGAGCTGGCAACCCTAAGTCACAAACAAAATATCGACAATGTAGTAGAGTGACTGCTTATATTAGTGGCTGAGTAGAAAACCTTCTGCTGGTTTATGGCCCCTGCTCAGCTAAGAAACAAAGAAAAGTAACCCAACCCCTCGTTCCACAGCAATAGTGCACATGCAGAGGAAGCTGGAAATGTGCTCTTTGCACGTTTCCCTCTACTCCTGGGGTGTCAAACATAAGGCCTGGGGGCCAGAACCGGCCGGTCCAGGGCTCTTACGCGGCCCGCGAGCAACTAGTACAAGGGAGGGAACAGGAGACTGCTCGAGGGGGGAGTGGGAGGAGCCACTCTGATTGTGGCTTCAGCATAGCAGAACCACCTCGTCTGCAGCAGTCAAGCAGCGTGGGAGTGTCTGCCTAGTGCTGCACTGCTGGCTCTCCAGTCCGCCCATATGGGTTTTCCTTTGCACCTCCCTCCCAGCCCATGGGGCCTCGCAGTGAGGATACACCAACTCGGAGCTTCCCAGCTGCTGTCCTTTATACAGTTTATGTCTCTGGTACTTGGCATTACATTTTATGGCACAAATGGCTTAGCCTGACAAAGTGATATTTATGTCCGATCCGGGCCTCATGACAAATGAGTTCGACACCCCTCTCTATAGAATTGCTTCATCTCATTTTATCAGTGGAGCAGGCCTGACTAGCAGACAACCACGAAGTGCAACATAGGGCATGTAGTTTCTTAGGAGGATGTGACCACTGTCCATGACCACTGACCTGGATCTAGGGTTGCTAGGCATGGCCTGAAGACCAGCAGGAGACCAGGATAGGTGGGAACATGGGGGGCACCATCAACAATGATGTGACATCACTTCCAGAGGAAATCCAGAGGTGACGTCGATCCTTTCTAGGAATCACCAGATTGTGGAGCTTTTATGGTTGTGTAACCATAGAGTTTCCAGTGATTCCTTGAGAGGACTGATCACTCTTCCCGCCCCCATACAACTGTCTGATGGCAGTTTTTTTTAGATTATTTTTTTCCTGCTGGCTGTGGAGGCAGGAGTGGGAAAAGGGATCTGGTGGTGGAGGATCTCTCACCCCTGGTGGAAGCTTGGCAGCCCTACTTGGCTATGAGAGAGAGAGAACTGTGACGTGGGGCAGGGTTTGTATGTACTTCAACAGGACTGAGCACAACAACAGAATTACTAAACTAGCAAGCACACCTTGGTTTCCCGTTTGATTTGGATAACCAATTGATGTATTTCCTACATACTGCATCCTGGAAATCTCCTTGTCAGATCAAAGAATTTCTGGGAGAACTCCATTTTGAAAGGTGTGAAATGTTATTGAACCATCACCATGTTTGTCTATAGGAGAGCACCTGTGACCTCTCTAACTAGGAAAAAAACATAGGCCTTTCCCATTATTTTTTTTAAATCTCAAAAAAAAAAAAAAGAGGGGAGAAATTGTTGTTTTTCAGTATCCTTTGCTCCAATCAGATTTGTAATCCAGATGCAAACCCTGTCTTGGCCAGCATGCTCGTTCACATTACAAACGTCTCTCCTCTGTTTCTCCTTGCACATCAGCAAGGATCAAGCCGTCATGCATGAAAAAATTGAATAAATACGTGAAGATGTCCTGAATCTGGCATTCAGGCTGCCATACTTCATAATAGCCACAAAGGGGCAGCATACACAAAACACAGTCCAACCCAAAGTGCTTGCAGGGTGAGAGAAGCAAATACATTATATAGTAACAGATATCTAGACGTTTGGTAAGTCCAGGGAGGCCTGACCACCTTTTTGCTCTGCAAGTCTGGAATAAGATCAGTTTCTTAGCCCCAATACTACAAAGCAACATCTCTCACAGATATTAGGGAACTGAAAGGGACTCATTATCACTGGGGTTAATTTTAATTTCATTTCATTTAGACCATGCACCTTCACCTTCTGAAAGCTGAGGCAAAAGGAGATGGACAAAGAAATCTCAAAAAAAAAAAGGGAGAAATGGTTGTTTTTCAGTATCCCTTGCTCCAATCAAATTTGTAATCCAGATGCAAAGCCTGTCTTGGCCAGCATGCTCATTCACATTACAAACGTCTCTCCTCTGTTTCTCCTTGCACATCAGCAAGGATCAAGCCGTTATACATGAAAAAATTGAATAAATACATGAAGATGTCCTGAATCTGGCATTCAGGCTGCCATACTTCATAATAGCCACAAAGGGGCAGCATACACAAAACACAGTCCAACCCAAAGTGCTTGCAGGGTGAGAGAAGCAAATACATTATATAGTAACAGATATCTAGACGTTTGGTAAGTCCAGGGAGGCCTGACCACCTTTTTTGCTCTGCAAGTCTGGAATAAGATCAGTTTCTTAGCCCCAGTACTACAAAGCAATGTCTCTCACAGCTTTTAGGGAACAGAAAGGGACTCATTACCGCTGGGGTTAATTTTAATTTCATTCCATTTAGACCATGCACCTTCACCTTCCGAAAGCTGAGGCAAAAGGAGATGGACAAAGAGCACATTGTAGGAACCACCCATGGTTTCATTTCCCGTTATGTTTGGCATGGCTCTTCCTTGCAGAGGTTACTGGCAACCCTTTAACAGCACATGTAGCCACCTATATGGCTATCTGAAGGAAAGTTAATGGTCACCCTCAAGAAACTAACCAGATTAGAGGTACCAAAAAGAACTCCCTCCGACAGCACAGAACTAGACCTGAAATTATGTGTCCCATGTGGAGACACTGTACATCAGCAATATCGACACCGCCTGTCTTGTGATATTCCATTGCAAGTTCCAGAGGAACTGGTTGTACTACAAAGCAATGTCTCTCACAGCTTTTAGGGAACAGAAAGGGACTCATTACCGCTGGGGTTAATTTTAATTTCATTCCATTTAGACCATGCACCTTCACCTTCCGAAAGCTGAGGCAAAAGGAGATGGACAAAGAGCACATTGTAGGAACCACCCATGGTTTCATTTCCCGTTATGTTTGGCATGGCTCTTCCTTGCAGAGGTTACTGGCAACCCTTTAACAGCACATGTAGCCACCTATATGGCTATCTGTGAAGGAAAGTTAATGCTCACCCTCAAGAAACTAACCAGATTAGAGATACCAAAAAGAACACCCTCCAACAGCACAGACCTAGACCTGAAATTATGTGTCCCATGTGGAGACACTGTACATCAGCAGTATCGACACCGCCTGTCTTGTGATATTCCATTGCAAGTTCCAGAGGAACTGGTTGGCCACTGTGTGAGACAGGATGCTGGACTAGATGGACCATTGGCCTGATCCAGCAGGTCTCTCCTAAAATTCTTACATTCTTAAGTTTGTACTTCCTCACCCTGTGATCTTTCTGCAAGTCTTGCACATATGCAATTTCTCTTCCGGGAATGGTAGACAAGAGACAGAGAGGGCCATAAAATAATAATGAATTTGGCAGTTGTATGCATGCATCTACACTGCCCGATATATTTGATGGAGTGTGCTGAAGACAAGAGCAGGCAGAAATCTTCAAAACTGGATTATGAAGTAGTCAGAGTCTAGGATGGCAAAGGAACTCTGTTACCAAGGTGGCAAAGGTATGTTGGGACAAGACTGCAAATGGAGTTCCAAAATGAGCACAAATGTTCAATGCCTAGTGTATGGCACGCTTTGATCTAGAGAACATTGCCAGAGCTCAGGGTATGATCTGATATTTCATGACCTGCCAGGCAATTTAGAGCCCTCTTCTCTTTTTTTAACACGAGCCTACAACAGTATGGGCATAAGGGGACCTCAGCGCAACTGGGAATCCTTCTTTCCCAGGGAAAATAAAGAAGACTTATGTGGCACCCTAAATGTTTTATCCCAGCATAGGCTCTCAAGAACTATAGCCTGCTTCATCAGTTGCATGTCGTAGGTCCTCAGCTACCCCTCATTTAAGAGGATTCCCAATTAAGCTGAAAACCCTATGCATGTACAGATATCGACCCATGGGTTTAATTCTAACTTTTGAACTAATGTGTGGACTCTTAGGAGCAGGGACAGCTCATGTCATACAGCTTCACACACACAAACAACTGAAAAGAGTTCATACCAGAGAAGACAGTTGTTTGTGAACTACAAGACTTTTAGCACTCTTAACAGGAAAAATTATTCTCATACAAAAATTATGTTCATAGCAATAGACCCAAGGTGGCAGTGTTGCGCCACAACAGGGAACGGTGCTTCTCTGTCGTGTAATTTCAGAGCTTTCAGGGCTTCTATTGTATACTGTTGAGTTTTGCCCAGAAATGTCACAGACTACCTCTTGCATTTCATGGCATATTAAGCCCATTGTTCACAATGCTCCCTTTACATCCATATGTATATTGTCCGTCTCTCTCCCTCTCTCAGCTGAGGATACTTAATACATTGGATGAACGGGACTCAAGCCCATGAACGCTTATGCTGCAATTAATCTGTTAGCCTTTAAGTTGCCATGAGATTTGTTTTCATATCACTAACAGCCTTCCGGGCCTACCTGAAGAGGTAGCCTTCCGTCTGTCAAAAGGAGTGCCCGTGGTGCTCCCTATGAGACGTGGCACTCCCAACAAGGTGGCCTCATTGTTTATTGTTTTAATGACTTCTGCTTTTATGTCATAGAAGCATACTAAATCATAAAACACCACCTCTCTGGAATTCGTAATCATAGAAAAATGGACAAATACCAGCCCTGTTTTTCTCTTCCTGGCTGCCTTGCTACACGGCATTCTTTTTTCCCCTTCGCTTC